GAAGATTACTGCTGTGACACCAAGTTCCCAGAGACTCTTGTGTGATAGATGAAGCCAACATTTATAAAGGAAATTATCTGCTTGTAAAACATCTTTGCAACTACATGTTTGGCTATACACTATTTGAAAGGTCTAATTAATCTTATTGTTTATATATATGAAAGTTATGTGTAATACATTATTTAAATAATTCATTAACAACTTAATAAAGTTTATTTTAGATAAAAATAGTCTAAGCTAAAAACATTCCTTACGTCCAGATTAAGGACCAATGAAGCGAAAATTTAACAATTTTCGGCAAATATAAGATTTCATAAAACCCAAATACCTATTTCTTTTTTATTTTTCCTTAGTCGAACATTATTTTAAAAAGAATTACAAATAATATCTGTCATCAGCCATTTCCTGATGATAGTGACTGTCCGCTCAATACCTCTGTTTTTGAAGCTTCATATGAATAACAGGCTGCCATGTCAGTATACATTTTTTCACTGACATAATCTGCTACAAGGTTTGTGATTGGTCAAATTTAAGCATGTGACCTAAGGCAGCCAATCTATTCTAATCACAGCAACTGCACTGTCCATGTGTATGATCATTCTCAGACTCTGATGAAAGGTTTGGGTTAAATCACGTTATTCTGAATGTTTTAAGTATGAAATTGAGATCTATATTAAAAATATGGAACTTCATGGATGCATGGTGCTAGGTTACGAGCTGTGACAAAGATTTCTTATGCATATATTTTGGCATTAAAGACATCCTGTCCGAGCCAAGAAATCAAGGCGACGAAAGCCGAGATGTCATTTGACTTACAGTCCACGCGATCTCAAGAAAACATGGAAATAATAACTAAGATGTCAGTTTGGCAAGTTTAAGATATATTTTTGTTGGTTTTATTGCTTTATATAATATATTTAAAGATTTGATTGAAACGTTATTTTGCTGTTTGACATGTTCGATGAGGACCCGTTGTCAAAGTGTGTCTGAGAATTGTATTTTCAATAACATTGCGGGAAATAGTAAATAATTTTTTAATCTATTGATAAAAAATGATAAAATCAAGTGGAATAAGTATTTCAGACATTGTGAAATGTGATAGATTTAATAAATGAATAATATGACAAGTAGGTTAATAGAATTATAAACTATTTTGACGTGACTTGGACGGTCTACTCTGCGGTGTCTGGTTACTTGTGGCTTCTTGGCTGGTGTACCGGCCAACAGTGTTGAAAGAGTTAAACTGGTCACCACTGCACTTTGTGTTGACAAGCTTTGATGGTATTAGAGAAGGATCCCAGTGAGAAATATCAGAGTGACTTCCTTTGCTTTACGCTCGACAAGGAACTTTTTGACGAAAAGATCGGCAGTAATAAAAAAGGGTAATTTTCATTTTTATGTTTTTTTAACATTCGGACTTTGAAAGAGCAGGGCATCTATAAACCAAGAAATAAAAAAAATGTCGCCTTACTAGTGTGTGCTGGATAACACTGTGCATTGCAAAAGATTGGAGTACTGTACGTATGTCAGTGTGTTTGTTCTATTTTATATAGCATGCTGGAATGCATCTCGTACAACAGTATCACTGTTATAATCCAGAAACTGAAGAAAATCTTCAATGTTCAGAGTCAAAGAGTGAAAGAATCGGTTAAGCTCACTGCGGAATGGACTCATCTGAGGCAACCGTTTTGTATTCTGATTTTACCTAGGGTACATTTCAGTATACAGAAAAGTACCTGGGGTACATATCTGTAGTATCCTTGCTGACAATGCCCCCTATAGCATCAATATGCCTGACTTTGACCTTATGTCAGAAGACACTGCCACTTGATTTCTGTTACTATGCTTTTATCATGATCACACATAACTGTATGTTGCCAATATATCTGCTGATCTGCCTACATGACCAAGAAACTGAGTCAGTTATAGCCCTGAAGGGGTTGTTGTCCACTCAGATACTACACATATGTACCCCAGGTACTTTTCGGTATGCAGAAATGTACCCTAACCAAAATCAGAATACAGAATGGTACCCTGGGATAAGTCTTTTTATCTCAAATTCGTGTTTGCAGGCAAATTTTTATGTATTTATATAGTGAGATGGTCAGGACGGGGTCGAGGTATCAGTACTTTCAAGATAAAGGTTCCTTTGAGGTAACAGGGTTCGACTGTACATGCTGTATGCAGGAATGTTGTGTCAGGGGAAAAGAATTTCTTCTTGTGCACATTATTGGATGTAGAATACCAATCGGCAATGAGCTTATCGGCCAAATTTGATACCACTGGCAGGTATCATCAGCTGATCATGCATAATTGATCTACTTGCAATAACTATTTTGTGCTATACCTATATGCCACTCACGATATAAGTAAATATGCTTTAGTTTATTAAATAAGCTACAAAAGAGATAATCAGCCAGACTATCGACCCTGCCTGTTTTAAAAGTTGAATGTCTTGGATGGTCGAGCAGGTTTGCATTATACCATTATACATCAATACAGTAATTGCTTAATTCTTCCTGTTTTGCTGAATGATAATTTAGAGTTTTAAAAATGTTATACAGTAGAACACGGATATATTGAACACGGATATAGCGAACAAACGGATACAACGAACTGTTAAAAAGTCCCCGATTGATCTCCTATATAATATCAAATAAAATTTGCGTACATAACAAACTCTCTACAGCGAAATTAACGGATACAGCGAACTGCTATCTGATCACTGACAAGCCCATCTATCACAAATTAGTGAAGTGTATAGCGAACTGAGAAATCTCACTCAGTGTCAAGTGTCACTGACAATTGGCTGTACGCAATCAGCGGCGAATCAACACAATGGTGGCAAATCAATACAATAGGCGGTGACGGATCAACCTTGTTAAATTTGCATTGTGTTAATCTTACCTGTACATGTAATATTGTCTGTAAAATATTATGTCTGTCATTGTCTGTCTTTGGAAAATCTGTGTTTGTCTTATCCAAGATGGCGGACGTTTCCGAGCAAAACGTGTATAACGAACAACGAATATAACAAACTGATTTCTCTGGTCCCTTGTAGTTCGTTATATCCATGTTCTACTGTATGTGACATTGCTATCAAATGAAAAGTTTTGTCTATTATCATAACTAATTCATTTCCCTGGAAGGTATCAAAAGCATTCGAAGAATAGAGGGAATCATTCGGTTTAGTAATCAATCATAAAGTAAGTTATTGTCACAAGCTTTAGGATCACCTTCTTTTAATATAATGAGATATGTGTGATATTAATATAATGTTATAATTGTTGCACATATTTCAAATTGTGGAGGAAATCAATGACTGTCTTCTTGTTTTATTTACATTTATTTCTAGTCTTGATGTAGTGAAACTGAAGTATATTGAAACCACAAAAAGAATTATGTTAAAATTAAATAAAGAGAAAGTAAACTGATATTAAGCACGACTGTTATTAATATTTTATATGAATCTAGCCACTCTACTCTTGTCAGAGACTGGGGCGGTCGGGTAGCCTAGTGGTTAAAGCGTTCGCTCGTCACGCCGAAGACCCGGGTTCGATTGCCGACATGGGTACAATGTGTGAAGCCCATTTCTGGTGTCCCCCGCCATGATATTGCTGGAATATTGCTAAAAGCGGCGTAAAACCTTACTCACTCACTCACTCACTCACTTGTCAGAGACTACTAATTTCTTTCTAAAGTTGTAAGAACAAGTGATACTCGATTCAAGTTTGCTGAAATAATGCAAAGTTTGTTCAAGTAGAATGAAACATTATTTGCACAGTCTGTAAACGTGTGAAGAGTCTACTCAGTGTCTTCTTGTTGCGAATATTATGCCATTAGCAAGGTTAGTGAACATTATGCCCAACTTCTGACTACATCATATTTGCATGAAAAAGATCAACATTATTCTTCTGGGCTTCTGTGGAAGGGCCTTGTATGTTATTTCTGTTTGACCTCATTTGTACATACAATTGGTAGTTCACATGAACACACATTCAACCTCTTTATAATTGGACTGTTGTAACGAGATGCAGGTTTTGCTTGACCTCCAATAAACCATGTTTCAAAAAGCAAAAATAGCAGAATATAGGCAGTTGCACAACCGATGCAAATTCTTAGCATGTTGTGATACACACATTGTTTTAATCACTAACAGCATGTTTCACTTGTCAGCAAGAAGTCTATGAAGTATGTGTGCATGGTCAAAAGCTACTGCTACATTCTCAGAGTTGACGAAGCCATAGGTTCACAAAGTGCTAAAAGCTTATGGAAGTGAATTCTTCCTTTCTCATTTCCATTTATGAACAGGTGGTATAACAAAGTGACATACTTCATGTTCTTTGAAAAGTCATTGTGTATTATAGTGTGTGGAACAGCAATGTGGTTGCATATTGTTCTAGTTCCTGATCTACTCCAATTATTGCCAATTTTACTGTCAATGAAATAAATAAACTTTGATATTAAATTTTTGGAGCAGAGATTTCCTATTGCCCTGACTGCTAGTAAATGCTTGTTATTTTGTAAAGGTTAGTTTTCTTTAGAATATTGGACTTCGGCATGATTAGAGTAAGCAGGGAGCTTAAAGTGTATTTTCATCGGTTACCAAAATGTCAGATGGAAATGTCTTATGTCTGCCATTAAGTTAATAATGTACAGCCCAGGTTTTGTGGAAACCACAAAATAGGAAAAACATTATTTGTTAGGCATGTGCCAACAATTGGAAAAAAACCCACTATTTTGGTTCAAGTACAATTTATTTATTTACAATCTTCAGGCTACACAAAGTATTGTGTAATTTGGTATTTGGATGTCAGTGGTTACAACTAAGGTTGTGAACAAAAACTGTACTTAGTGAAAGATTTGTCAAGGTTTAAAATGACAAATTATCTTTCCACTATTTTTGGTATCTATTGACCAGCAAATAATAAAAGCCATGTACTGGGCTGCCTCTTTGTCTTTGACTTGATATCTTCCTAAACTGAGTGGATATTTTTCAGTTGGATCGCCTCAAGGATGCCGCATCTGCTGCCTACACATTTTACCTGGTCAACCCTGACCATGAGGACATGATAAGCAACATCCGCTACTATAAGGATAAGGCTGGCATCCACGAGAACGACTTCCTTGATCTGGAACTCAGGCCATACAAGGTAGAAATACAGGCAATAACAGAGAGCTCAATGACATCTGGTGCTCCTCTATGATGCACATCCTGTGACATCCAGCTCACACCCTCATTATGCTACTGCTCCCAGTCTGCAGATCAACATGTGCAGGATAACACATGACTCAGAGGTTATGCTTGGGATTGTAAAACTATAGATAAGAGAGGCAAGAGATAGTAAGTCTTAATCCCAAGGCTCTTTTCTTGAGGGCTTACAATCCCAAGCATTTCCAGCATTTACAAATCAGAGTTTAATAAACTTTTCCTTCAATACACTGGGCCTCAGTTGCAGAAATGGTAGCAAGCTTATGAACAGTGTAATGCTATGTGATGAAGAGGTTGAAGTCCCAGGGCCAGGGAAATATTTAAAGAAATATGAATGCAGGTATGACAGATTACTGTATTGGAGGAAGAGGTTTGTAGGGACTATCAGGAGAAGAAGCCAATTACTGTTATGTTGATAAGGACTTATTTTTGCACAAATCAGATTGTTTGGAAAGGCATTATCAAGCTAGTGTACAGGTTATTATAGGGCTAGGACTAGAGTATAATCTAATCTTGTTTCAAACTCTGATATGCAACATGCGAGGTGAGGTTATAGTGGTGCTGATCATGTTAGGTAGGCCAAGCATGTACTGTTTTTACCTTCTCCAACTCAACCTCAGTAAATAGTCCGATAATATGTAATACTCATCGCTTATTTTGCACCCCAAAGGTAACATTGTAGTGAGGGATCACTGTATTGAGAAAAGTCAGTATTTGAATGGCCTACAGGTACGATTTGTGTGAAAGTGCTTTCGTGTAAAACCAGGTTTTCAGATTTTTAGCTCACCTTACTGAAAGTTACATGAGCTAATGTCATGGTTTGGTTGTCCAGCATTTATCAGCGGTGTCATCTGTAAACCTCTTCTCAGAAACTACTTGACCTGTGAAGCTTCAACTTCACTGGTTTGTGGGGGGGAATTGATACATCGGTGCACCGCTGCATCGTGAGGTTAACTATGACGATGTGATACACGATACATTTTTTTCTGTATCGATACAAGACGATACACTTGCTGACAATGATATGACGGCACCTGAATTGTATCGAGGTTCGAATAAGAATTTCAGTAAAGCTTTCTGATCAGGAGGCAGAAGCCTTCAAACCCAGCATGCTGAAACCTGTGTCATGCCCAGTTCCTTCCTCAGAATGTCCTCAACTCTTATCATGAGCATGATGAGAGATGCCTACTAGATTGGCTATGTGACATGTGATGAGTCATCTATCGTCCATAATCATTATGGAAATTAATATACTGTCTTTGTTGACATGTTAAGCTGTTAACTACATATCCAAGTGAGCTGCAGTGCTGTGGCACTATTTTTCTGCTGTTTCTATCTTAGATGAGTCCAAAATAATAAACTACTTGAAACACTGAATTACAGATTATCTGTCCCTCATGAATGCTGTTAGGCCCGAGCCAGAAGCTACTGTTCATTCACTAGGGACAATGTCACAGCTAATACATATTTCCGCGTAGCTTCTTGGTAATTCTCTATATATAGTCCACATGTTCATATTTCAGCTAGAAACTGTCTTTACAATGAGCGACAGCTATTAACACTAGGGATGATGGTTGAATATGCAAGATTGTAAAATGAACAAGGTGGTCAAAAAGATTGTGTTGACACAAGGTGTAACTGATGCCAGTTACAGACTGAGACATGCTGCCTCAATGTGGGAGTACCTTTCAGTAATACACAGGTCAACACCAGGCCCACTGGGTAATGGGGACCTTCATATGATGCTTTTGTGTTTGTCGTGTAGGACTATTGTGTTTCCTTTTGATGACTGATGTTTTTTTCTACTTCTGTGAACCAGTTTATAGTGCAGGGGGATATAGTGGACACCTTATCTGTCTGTCCATCCGTCAGTCCGTCCGTTGGTCTGTAATCATTTCCGGAGTGTAACTGTAAAACTGTTATAGATATATCAAACAGGTCCTGAAGTGGTGCCTTTTGCTATTTACAGATTTTTGTCATTTTCGCTTTTTTCAATTTCCATGGAAACAATTTCTACTTAGTCTCATAAGGGTGCAGATTTCATCTCCGGAGCACAACTAAAAAAAACGTTCACTATGCTTCAACAAAACTTGGCAGATATATCAAGCAGATCCTGAAGTGGTGCCTTTTGTTTTTTACAGATTTTTGTCATTTTCGCTTTATTCAATTTCCATGGAAACAATTTCTACTTAGTCTCATAAGGGTGCAGATTTCATCTCCGGAGCACAACTCAAAAAAACGTTCAATATGTTTCAACAAAACTTGGCAGATATATCAAGCAGATCCTGAAGTGGTCCTTTTACTATTTGCAGATTTTTGGCATTTGTATTGATCTTGAGTTCCATGGAAACGATTTGGACTTAGTCTCAAAAGGGTGGGGATAGGAGTCGTGTCCGGAACACAACCTGAAAACTAAAAAGCTATTCAACATTATTCATCCAAACCTGGTACATGTATCAAACAAGGGCTGAAGTGGTGCCTTTTGCTATTTAGGAATTTTTCAAAATTTGATTTTTCCCTGTTCCCATAAAAACAAGTTTGATCAAGCTGAAACGGGGGTAGGTGTCTTTTCTGGAGCAGAACTTAAAAGCTATTCAACATTTAAACTTAAAAGCTATTCAACATTTTTCATCCAAACATGGTTCATGTATTATTCAAGGGCTGAAGTGATGCCTTTTGCTATTTTGGAGTTTAAGAAATGTTCATTTTTCCTGTTTCCATAGCAACAAGTTTGACTTTGACTCTGTTCATAGTGGTGTGTTTGTCCGGGCCATATCTCTAATACTGATAGGTATTCTTTCTTGAAACTGCGCACACACAAAGACCAGGTTGCTACTTAGGGGTGTTTAGAATTTATATTTTTCTGTTTCCATGGCAACAAGTTTGGTTTGACTTTGTTCATAGTGGTGTGTACCTGACATAGAAACACAAATTTCTGATTCCCTATTACCATGATTACATGGTATTGTTTTGATAGCTCAATAACTACTTTTGTATATGGAATGACAGATTAGATAGAAATTCTCTCATCAAGTTGGACTTTAAGTAACAGTCAGATGATTTGTTCTTTCAAATTTTTGTCATTTTTACTTTGGGGATTTGTCATCCTCTGATGACTCATGCTTTTATTTATGATACATTGTACCTGTGTAAGGGAAGAAAGAGACATGTATGGATGCTTGAGTTCAGTTAAAGATTAGACATTTCTAACATCATCATACAGATTTCCCGGACAAATTAATCAAAGTAGTAAGATATAGAAATTGTGCAAGTAGTACACTTTCAGAATAATTGGGTTTTTTCACTTTGTACTGTACTCCCAGATTGGTTTACAATTGCTTCAGAACCCTCTTGTGAGCACTCCTTTGTTGTATTCACAAAGTGTCAATCACAGAATGAGCAGAGCTAGAGGTGGCTGAGAAGCCTGGTCTATTGCATGTAGATTTCTTGTTTATTCACCAGGAATTGTGGCTCTGGTTAAGATTTTTTGCTCACACAATGCTTTCAAGCTGCACTGATTTTATTGGAGGTGGCAGTTTTTGCCCAAGTGAATGTTTTTTTAACCTTTATAATTTTGTACAGAAGTTCCTGGTTTCTCAAGAGGTTTCCCAAACTGTGTAATGTCTCTGTGAGGTTATTTGTCAGTGGTTTGTTGTGTAAGGTGTGGCATGTGATTGATGCTGAATGTATTGTTTAATGTGTTTTGTTGGAGGAGTAATAATGAGTTAGAATTTCACACAGCCTGGCTATGAAGTACTTTTTCTGGTTTCATGTGTTTTTATTTCTCAGTGACATGTATTCTCAGGATTTCAGCTGAGACTGAGCAAGACTTTCCGTTTGTGATATACAGTCACCTGGCATAAAAAAATAATTATGAGATTTTCATTGTCTTGTAACCTCACATTTCACTTTGCTTTTCATGGTGCTAGCTTATATAACCATCCCTGTAACATGTCTAACTGTACCTGATATGAAAATGTGATTTGATGATCTTTAGTTTTGTTTTAGTGTTTGGATAACTTCAAAATACCTGTCTTTGAAAGATCAGACAAGTGGAGTCTATGGCAGATTAAATTTTATAAAAGGTTTCTTTTATTTGAATGAACAAATTGCTCCAATCTGAAATCTACAATACATACAAAGTTACTCCTTCTTTCAGCTCTTGCTTAGAAATAGTGCTGTATTTTATAGCTTTGGACATGATCGTTATGATGGGCAAGGTAGGGCATTTTAAACAGTTCATCTCGCATGGACATGCTTGGAGCATGTGGAGGATACTAGTTACATGGGACTGTTCCTCTAGATGAGTGTTCGGGAAACCCACTCTTCCACTCCCAGAAATAATGAATTACAGGTGTTCTTTTAGGTCTCTCAATGCATGTAATTAATCAAAGCACATTTTAATGGTGCTTTATCTAAGCAACAGCAACAGCTGTGTATGAAGACCTTGAGGAACATAATTTTTTCATTTGTTTTGTTTTAACATGTTTAAACATGGCTGTTCAACATTCAGGTGAAATGGAGCCTTAAACTGAGAGAGGAACATGGTATCAGCTGGTGACAGAAATGTACATGAAAGTGACATGAATAATTTCCGGCTGGAAGTACATGTAACTGACATTCTTGTATGTGTATGTGTATGTGTATGTGTGTCAGTGTAACTCCGTACACCCTCTTCCCAAACAGGAAGCTGTCATGACATGCAAACTCACCCCACCCCCACAGGATCCTGTCTACAACAACCCACAGCAATATGGAGCTGATAAGTGACCATGTGCAAAGTGTTGCCTATGTCAATACTAGATCAGCTGATTGGAAAGACGCACTGTTGTATATATGATAAAAAGTCAATGTGTTGCTGTTAGAGAGTTTGGATGGATCAATTTGAACACATGTAAAGAAAACATCTGCAGGCATGACTGCACTAGTAATTTCGAGGCG